TATTGTTATATGGTGGTTGGGCACTCAGTACTACTATTGGCATAGCATTATATTTAAGGTACATTATGATTTAAACAGGCTTTTGTGAGACATACTGTTTCCATGGGGAAATGCATTCTTAGTTCCAAACAACTGATTTAGAAACAAACTTTTGGAATAGAATTGATTCATAAGGTAAGGACTGCCTGAGCTCTGTATGTATTATGGGAATTTGTGTAGCAAAACCTCACTTCACTTAAAAGTCAAATTAGATTAGAAGTAATCCCAATCTAATTTGGGGCAGAGTAATCAAAATGTAATTGGGTTTTAGAGACACTAGTATTTATGGTGATATTTGCCTGAAAATTCAGTATCACCTGGAAATTTTAGATGATCTTCATTCCACCAAAGTAGGCTGATGTAGGCTGATGATGATTCAAAAGGAAAGGTAGCAGGTTTGTGATGGAACTTTTAGAGACAATGTAGGTCCATAAAGTGGGTGGGGCAGTCTTAAGAGCAAAAATAACTCATTGAAGTTGACTTGTGGGCAAGTTATACTCCTTGAAAAGGGAGAAGATAGTTTAGGGAGAGTTTTTTGGGGCAGAAACTACTAATACTACTGTCTTAGAGTTTGGGTAATTGCCAGGAAAATGGCTTATACCTAGGATTGAAGGATGAACCTGAAGCCCAGATACAAGAAATCTTGTTCCCTTGGTGACTCAAGTTGTTAAGAGATATATGTATGACCTTATACCAGTGAGAGAAAATAAAGAGGAAGAAGGAAGTAAAAAATGGAAGTACAAAAGGAAAAACTGTAAAAGTCAGATCTATGAGTGAACTTCAGAACTTTGCCAAATTTTAAAATGAACCTCTGTGCCTATAATTTATTATGTGCATAGTTTGTATCTAAAACATCCTGATGCTGTAGTAAAATAGGTCAGACAGTGTTTTGTTGAAAAGGGCATAATGAGAAAAGTGCATGCTTTGGGAAGAAAGAACACAGTAGTCTTTGGAAGGAAAAACAAAACAAAATAAAGCTGATTCCCTAGGATAATAACTGCTAAAAACTGCTTAAGCAGTGCTGAAACAGACTGAAGAGTTTTCTCTTTGGGGGACTGCTTTCCCTGTGTTGTTTTATCATTATTTGGTGGAAAATTATTTGTTTACAAAGACCTGGTATTTTTAAAAGGTGTTTCTTGCAGGTTTACAGGGAAATGTCTCTTATAACATATGTAGAGAGAAATCCATGTTTGCGAATAGATTTATGATGTTCCAGAGTTTACTTACAGACCTCACTCCCCAAAACAATCTCTACTCAACTGAATTCCTAGTAAAGAAAGGAAAAAACCAAATAACAACATAACAAAAAATGTTTTTAAAGTTTGAGAATTCTTCCATAAGCATGCAAGAGAAAGCAAGCAGTTTTTCTTTTTCATTTTATTAATAAATTTTATTTGTACACATTATACAATCTTCCATAATGTTGAGTCCCATGAAATTTACTAAGCAAATAGAGGGCAGTTATAAGCTACTTCTCCCCTATTTTATAGATCAAAATCCTTCTACATCATCCCCCTTTCTCATTCTTTGCTTCAGATTCTAATGAAGAGGTAACCCTTGTCTTTGCTAAAACTCATACCTCTATTTGGGCCCCTGTTCCTAGCTCTTTCTGTCTCCTCACCTCTCTTCCTACCTAATCAGTCTCCTGCGCTGTAATCCCACATCCCCAGGGGTCTGCTAAACATCTCCACTTGGATGTCCTGTGAACAAGTCAGAGCCAACATATCCCAAACAGAATTCACTGAGCATCTTTGCCCCAAACCTTATCATCCTCTCATCTACTAATTTTGTTGAGGGTATCATCATCCTTTCACAAACTCCTCAACAATTCTCACCCCTCTATATCCAGTCAGTTGTCAGATATTGTAAATTCTTTTTTCCATAGGCTGTCTCCCTTTTTCCTCTTATCCTTTTCTCCATTTGTATGGGCACCACTCTAATTCAGGCTCTTTTCACCTGTAATAGCTTCCTAATTGGTCTCCCTAATTCTAGACTGTCACCTCTGCAATTCATCCTCCACACAGCTGCCAAAATCATCTTCCTGATGCACACATGTAGCTCTAGCTAGTTTCTCCTCAAGAGGTGTTAGTAGCTCCCAATTGTGTATAGGATAAAATACACACTCCTCAGCTTTGGCATTTGTTGTAGCCCTTAGCCCTTCATAAGCTGACTCTCCTTTTCAAGCTTATTTGACCTTTTCCCCCTTCACATTTACATGTGAAGCTGTTGCTTAAAAATTGGAATTATAGCACTTGCTTCCTTGTCAATGCATAGGCTGTCCCTCATACCTGGAACATACTCTCTCCTCACTTCTAAATCTTAGAATCCTTTGCTTCCTTCAGGATTTTAGTTCAAGTGCCACCTCCATTGTGAAATCTTAACTGATCTCCCTTGTTGCTAATGTTCTTAACTTCTTTAGATTGTTTTGTATTTATTAATCTGTTTATGTGTTGAATCTACATCCAAGTAGAATTGTAGGCTCTTTGCGAGCAAGGGATTATTTTTGATTTTTGTCTGTATCCCCAGGTTTGGAATTCTTAGATGCTTGGGATGCTTTTTTTTTTCATAGAAATATATCCCCAGGTTTGGGGATATAGTCCTTTATTTGAATTGTATTGAACAGTTAAGTAAAACAATATAAAAGAATGATTGTGACTGATACTATATAACTCAGAGACTTAAAGGCTAGAAGGGATCTTAGAAATCATCCATTCTAAGCAAATTACATTGTGAAGGATAATCATTTGTTAAAGCAAAACTGGTTAGTTAGCTTAGTATGTCAGAACATGTGAGTGAAGCTAGGATTCTGACTGCAGGTGGTGTCTCATTAGATTTACTTTTTTTTTTTTTGCTATGGCCATGGTCTAAGTAATCTTGCGTAAGTCTTGCATGACCTGTTGCCATCTATCTTACAAATTATATATACATACAAATTCATGGTTATGGTCACAGGTGAGCCTGGGTAAGAGGGTGTGAATAGACCAATATAAATTCTTTACCTCTGCTAAAAATATATATATATATAATTCAGTATGTTCTACTAGTTGGGGCTTAGAAGCTTCATCTCTGTATTATGAGAGTGATGATGTTGATATTAAAATTGCATTTTAAAGTGTTGTCTGAGCCTGGATGCATGCTGTGTAATGGAAGAGTCTGAAATTCATATGTATTTATGAGAGCTGATACACAGTATTATTTATTCAGTAACACTACTGGTAGATTTAATGAAGGGTAAATATCTTAGAGTGATTAGTTTTGGCAATTGAAGTGTGAATAGGACACCAATCGCTATTTCTTCTTCTCTGCTATAGATATTGGCCAGTTCTACCATAGTTAGAGCACATACACATAACTCATATTACACACATACACACACACCCTTGTCACTGTTTCTGAAAAGTGAAAAACATATATGTGACCAAAGAGTTTCCAGAGATGTTAATGGAGCTAGATAACTTAGAGTTCAGTGTGCAGTAGAGTGTCTGACTTTCAAATGAATGTTTAACAAGTCAAGTCTCTGAATGATGGACACATGCAGAAAGTACAGTGAATCTTGAATTCAAGTCTCCAGGGTGAATTTCTATGTCAGCTTCTAGAATCTCCATCCCTCATCCCCACTCACTTTTTTGAGGGAAGAAGGCATTCTGGTGTATTAGACTGAAACCTGGACCTGAAGTTAGAAAACCCAGGTCATAGTCCTGAATCTGTAGCTGTATCACTGACCAAGTCATTTCACCCTCAGAGGCTCCATTTTCTTATCATAAAGATGAGGGTGTTGAACTACAAACTCTTCAAGGTTGCTTCCAGCTCTAGTATTCTATGATTCTTTGAAAATGCATTGACATGTGAGCACACTTGGCAACTTATATTTCTTCTCAAGTGTTCTTTCACAAAGATGTTTTCTTCCCCTAGTTCCAGTCTTCTGCTATCACACTATTAGATGCTTTATGGTTTTTCCCCAGGCACAAAACAGAAGTCAAAGCAACTGTTTCATGATATTAACAATACAGGAAAATGCTTAAAGAGCCTAAAATAGACATTGTAATACAGGATTCACCTCATCAGCTTGATTAAATTTTGTAGGTTCATTATTTTAATCCTGTCTTTTTAAAATGTAACAATATTTTGATATTAAAGTTGGGTTTTCCTCTGATCTATTGGAAAAGGTAATATTAATGGATTCCCAGATTCATTATCATAGTATCACTTTACTTGTTAAAATCTATTTCCCATGCCTGAATTAGTTTTTCCTTGGAAGTCTTTAGAGTTTTCTGTGGTAGGGGTAATTCTGGGTATACTTTGTAGAATTAAGGGTTAATAAGTCCAACACTGTCGCATATGGCAGTGAGCAGAATCGCAGATGTTGAAGATACCACATAATTAGTATTCTTTTATGTAAATGAAGTCTGTCAGCATGTTATCATAGTGTCTTCTCTTTTTCAGACCAGAATTTATGCCACTTGGTCTTACCAAGACCAGACAAGATTATTCCACAGTCCCTAGTGTAAGAACCTAGAGGAAATTGACAAGGGGGTGGGGAGGGGCATGGAAGACTCCTTTAAGCAGAACCCTTCCACTTAATTTTTTTTTTACAATTTCATTTCTAAGGATGCATTTAGACATTAAGACTGCTAGGAGATTTAATATTGAAGAATAATTAGAATTAGCCAAGTAAAAGACAAATCAAAATTTTAATTTAGAATTTTTAAAAGGTGACTGGTTTATCTTGTATAGAGATATTCTAAATCTACAAGTCTCTCACCAAAACAAAAGACTAGAATCAAAAAGGTTTAGTTATCTTTTAAAATATTTGCTATTTGTTAGTATACCTGATTAATCAAGACATGTTTTTTTTTTTAAACTAAACATAAGGTATTTAAAAAGCAAAAACTAGTTTTACTGTGTCAGAGGTTTGTTCTCCCTCCCCCATTACCCCCACCCCCACTTCAATCTATCCAGGGTGTATATGGCACATATCAATTTTTAGTTAATCTTCTTAACATCTTAGAACTGTTGCAAGGCATATTATCCTTCCCTAATTACATTGTAACTATGCTCCCCATAAGCTGTGTTTGGGGTTTCCTTCGGGCCATATTTCTGAATGCTGTACCACATGTATTTTAAGCTGGAGTGAGAGGGACTCATTGCAACTTTTGGAAATCTAAATGAAAAGCTGTATATGTCACATGTGTAAAATTGGACTCTACATTTTGTCAGTGAGTGTTATACTATGTTTTGAAATACTGAGAGTATATGTGAGAGGTGAGTAAATGCATTACTGGTTTTCAAAAAAAAGGCCATTCATCCCTTTTTTCTTTTCATTTCTTAGGTTAAAGTTGACTGGAATTTTGTTTTTCTCTTCATTTCTGTGTTGATTAAAGAGTATTTCTTGTCACTTTTGAGAGATTTCCATTCTGTGATGCAATAGCAAATACAGAGCTTAGTTATCAGCATCAAATCCACCTTCCATCCCCCCTCCTTTCCCCTGTGCCTGACTCAAATCTGAGTGATGCAGTACATAACATCCTTGAGTTTTCCTGTGTGGATTTTATGCCATATGGCAGGTTAGTCACTTACCACAACAGACTTATAATGGGGAGGTGGGGGAGAAAGGAAGTTCAGGAAAATATGAATGTGATCCTCAGATTTATACACTAGAAAATAAAATTAGAAAAAAGAAATTCCAATGTGCCCTTTCCACTTGACAGATGTCCATGGCAGAATGTGAGGTGGTTTTGTATTTTTCCTAACATAGTTCTGTTTTTCTTTAAGGAAAAAAAAATAATAAAAGGGAGATGATTTTAAACAGCTATGTTCAAGGTGTTACATTCATGCATAACTTACTCACCAAACTATTCTCTCTCCATAGATTTTTGAAGCTGTGCTGTATTTCATGTGATAAAGATCTCAGTACCAATTAAATTCCTGAAGACCTGCCAGATCCTGTTGGCTAAAATGGGGATTTGCCAGGCCCCAGGTTCTGAGTTGCAAAGAGGAAGCAATACAAATATGACTCAGTGAGTACTGAATCATCAAGAAAAAAGACAGGCAAAAGGCTCTGAATGAATAAAAGATAATTCATCCTTGAGCTGTTTATGGGAAAGAATTTTAGAAGTAAAATTCTTTATTTTATTTCTATAAAAACTTGTGTACCTGTAAAAGGATTAGATTCATGTTTACCAATCATGAATGTGGAAGGCATGAAGATTAACTCTAAAATCTTCAATCTCTTGATTTACTTTTGTCTTTTTTTCAGTTTAGTAAATGGATGAGTTTTAGATCATTTTGAGTGTTACACACAGTCAGCCTCTGAACTTGTACTGTTTGTTGGTGATAAGCAGCAGAAAGTAAATATTTTCTCACTTTAGCTTTTCAGGTCATATTGTTTTGTTTAATTTGAGTTAAGTCTAAGCCTGAAGATTAGCAAACTCACAGTCTTAACCTAAACAAGAATGATGTTTCATTACCAATGTGGTATATACATGCAATAAGTTAGAATAATCCTGAGAGAGGGTAGCTTTGATCCTAAACTTCAATCTTGGCACCACTGAATACTTAGACAAAACAAAATTCTAGGGGTTGGGGGAAAATATAAAAAAAAAAAAATAGGAGCCAGTTTCCCAGCCTTAAGTTTATAATTTTAGTGTAGTTGAAACATAATATAAATGACTTCAGAAAATTTAGCAACATATCAATCAAAATTAATATATGAAAACTGAAAATGCATTTGTGGGAATTCAAAGGGAAACAGAGTGAGTTTGAATTTTTTAAAATATATTTATGCTCTCTAAGCAATCTAAGATGAGGCAATAACAGAAGTAGGGTGTCCAAATTGTGGCAACAGTATGGGGGCCACATTTAGAAGAGATTGCAGTGGGGAGTAGGCAGGCCATCTGGTGACTATGGGATCTGTCAGCAGGGCTGAGCTGAAATATGGGACAGAAGAGGGGGTAGCCAGAGGTGCCAACTAGAGAGAATATGGAAGTACTCGTAGACTCTTTCTTTTGAACTGAGTTCCCTGCCAGGAATGGGAAAGAAAGAGAGCTTTCCTGGAAAACAAAAGGGAAAAAGGAAGAAAATGCCCTGGGTTATCAACAGAAATCACTCTTAGGATATCTAATATGGAAAGCCTGTTTTCTAATATCTCAGATGATGACTTTGTCCTCTTTGCAGTTCTCACATTTGTACTTCTACCCAAGATGATTTCTTAAACTAGTTCTATGACAAGCAAAACTGATGCGACTATGATAAAAACTGAACCATTTCAGGCTTCCAAAACAATACCTGCCACCTTGCATTTGTATAGCCACTTTAATTTTCGTGTATATTAGCTGGAAGACTTGTATTGTCCCTCTGTCCTACTTCCAATAGTTAACAAATAGATAACTTGTTTGAGCAGTTAGACTCATCCAGTTCTCCTCTATTTAGCTATCCTTTCAGCCAAGATAGTGAAAATCCCTACCCCTATTTACAGAGTATATAAGTGTTCTTTGCAACAAGACATGAAAATTTTACCTTGACTGGTTGACAGCCTGCTCCTTGTGTCACTTCCAGCTGGAGAAAAAAGAGTATGATTCTTTGAATTCTGTGAATAGGACTTTTTCCTTTCTGATTACTTAGGATGAACCATCAAATTTACTTCTCTTAGAGGTTTTTCTCTGTGGATTCCATTGTCTCATTTCTGTTCTCTTGACTTCTGGAGAATACTTTGGGGAATCTTTCTCACAGAAAATTGTATTTGGGGTACCTCCTGACTGTCTCCTGGTTCCTCTTTTTCTACTCTTATGGTACTCTTTACCCAATCAGGAGATCAGTAATGATATATAGAGCCTTTCACCAGTTCAGTGATCAGATTTCACAGGCTCGTGACATATGATGGTGATCTCCATCTCTTTTCTAAAGTGCACAGTGGAACTGATAAACCATTGACCTAGACTTGTGTATCAGCTGGAACATTCACGAATTAAAATAATCAACTGAATTATAATTTAAAAATTGAGCCAACGGAATGGTTTCCCTGTTGTGTCTTAATTATCTTTTTGAGGGATCTTAATCTCTTCGCCATTATCCTGATACCATAGGTCAGGGTTATTGGTCTTTCAGGAGCCCTATTTTTGTGATAGCTAAGAATGACAGATCAATGGATATTTTAGATTCCCCCTCCCCCCCAAAGAAAAGAAAACACTCTTCAAAATTAGTAACACTGAGGTATCTTTTCCCCCCCATGTTTTGCCAGGTTAAAGGAGTGGAGACTTCTGTAAGACATGGATAGATGTAAACATGTAGGGCGGTTACGACTCGCCCAGGACCATTCTATCCTGAATCCTCAGAAGTGGCACTGCATGCAGTGTAACACCACAGAGTCTGTCTGGGCATGTCTGAAGTGCTCTCATGTGGCCTGTGGACGATACATTGAGGAACATGCATTTAAACACTTCGAAGAAACCAGACACCCATTGGCTATGGAAGTCAATGATCTCTATGTGTTCTGTTACCTTTGTGAAGACTATGTTTTGAATGATAATCCTGAAGGGGATCTGAAACTGCTCAGAAGTACTCTCTCAGCAATTAGGAGCCAGAAGCAGGATCTGTCTGTGAGGAGTGGTAGAATGCTTCGGTCGATGGCTTCAGGAGAGGACGTGTTCCAACCTCAGCAGGCTCCTCAGGGACAGCCCCAGATGTTGACAGCTCTGTGGCACCGGCGCCAGTGTCTGCTGGCTAAAGCGCTGAGGATCTGGTTTGAAAAGAGCACCAGAGGCCAACAGAAACTGGAGCAAAGAAAGCAAATAGAAGAGTTAGAGAAGAAAAAAGAGGCTGCAAGGCAGCGGAGGCAAGAGATGAAGCGCCGCCTCCTTGAGGAGCTGGCCAACACCCCCCCCAGGAAAAGTGCAAGGCTACTTTCTCATGTTCACCAAGCGAATTTGATTCCCAGGAAATTCAGAGAGATAGCAACAAATTCCCCTACCTCAAGAAGAGTGCAGAGCAGCAAATTCAAGCCGTTTTATTCCATCCGCCGTAAGCCAATGGTGACTCCTGGTGTAACAGGTCTGCGGAACCTGGGTAACACCTGTTACATGAACTCTATCCTTCAAGTGCTCAGTCATCTCCAGAAGTTCAGAGAATGTTTTCTGACCCTTGACCTCTGTGAAACAGAAGAACTGCTTGCCAAAACAGCCAATGGGAAGTCTCAGATGTCAGGTAAATTGGCAAATGGATCTGCTGCTGATGAGTCAGCGAGAAATGACAGAATTGAGCCATGCAGTAGGCAGGGCTTACTCACTGGCTTGAATGGTGGGTCCTCCATAAACAGGAGCTTAGAACTAATACAGCCTAAGGAGCCAAGTTCAAAGCACATTTCTCTCTGTCATGAATTACATACCCTCTTCCGTGTTATGTGGTCTGGGAAGTGGGCGCTGGTGTCTCCATTTGCCATGCTCCATTCTGTTTGGAGCTTGATCCCTGCCTTTCGGGGCTATGACCAGCAAGATGCTCAGGAGTTTCTCTGTGAGCTACTGGATAAAGTCCAGCAGGAGCTGGAATCAGAGGGAACCAAGCGTCGGATCCTCATCCCCTTCTCCCAGAGAAAACTCACCAAGCAAGTTCTGAAGGTGGTGAACACAATATTTCATGGGCAGCTGCTCAGTCAGGTAGGTTTCTTCGTTCTACCCACCCTGACACTGATTAGCACCAGGAACAGATATTGTGTGGTTCTTATGGAGGCTTTGGGCAAGTTAATATAATGAGGAAAGATCTGAGATCCGTTGTTTTGAGTGTGACGTGGTAAATCAACATATACTATCTTGATGAAAACTTCTGCTGCCTCTTTTTTGCCCCATTTTTATGTCATTTGCTGTGTCACTAAATTTCAAATGGATGCCAAGAATGTTAACATGATTGTTATTATGTCAGCACTTCAGTAGATCTATGACTCCTGCTGCTGCTGTTGATTGCAATCCATCCATACCATATAATCCTGGGTAGTTCTTATCTATCTTTTCCTGCACAACCCTCAAGGAATCCACCCCACACATTAGATGCATGCCCTCTGTTTTTTGTTTTTAATATTTTGTATAACATTCAGGTTTCCCATCTCTGATTCTTATAAATAAAATATGACAGGTTATATAATAAGTGTCCACAGTTGGCTTGTCCACCTCTGGCCTGTTTTAGGAAATGATACAAACTTCTTTAGGAGCCTTGGTTCCAAAGTGACTGGGAAAAGAAACTATTTCCTACTCTGCTAGTCTAAGTTTCTCACAATAGCTATATATGATCATAATCACAGACAAAAAATAAAGTTTATGGACTTAAAGTGTACTTTAGTTTACATCGATGCTTAGTGTATTAAAGTATCTATGAAAAATAAGGTTACATGGCATTTTAGTAATATATTTTCTCGTGGGAATTCAAATTTAAAAAAAAATTTCCTTGTGTGCCAAGCACTAGGCTAGGCTCTGAGGAGGAAATCCTGATATAAGTAAGAAGTGTTTCCTGTCATTAAAAAGCCTATCATCCGAGGTGAAATGCAAGATCCCTAGGTGGTTTACTTGAATTTACTTAAAACTAGGAGTTTCCCAATTGCTGCTATGCTATGTCTTTCTTTCCTTTACAGAGGTAGAGGACTATGGTTGTGGAGCATAATATAATGTCAGAATTGACCAATGTATTTGATAGGAAAATACTTTCTTTTTTACAAAAGATCTTAACACCAGAATTTTCTATGGGCCATAGCATCATGTATATGGCAATGATTCACAGTGAATAATTCCTTAGTCATTTGTACTTTTGCAACATAGACTAGTATTACGTGTTTCAGGGGTTAATATTCTCTGTGTGTCGTATGGTCTTTAAAATTTAGTCAATACCCATTTATAGCAGAAATGCCTATTGGAGAAATAACATGCTCCAGATTCTTAATCACTTTTCTTATTCTTTTTATGTTACATCACAAAAAACAAAAAAAACCAACCCAACAACAAAAAACAAAGAACACCTGGTTTGGAGCAGGGTAATTTAGATGGCTTTCTTAAGGTGTGAGCAAAATTTATGTCAGATGCAAGGGAGTAATATAATCTGCATATAAACCTTCCACTTCTAGGTCACATGCATAACATGCAATTACAAATCCAATACCATTGAACCCTTCTGGGATCTGTCCCTGGAATTCCCTGAGCGCTATCATTGCATAGAAAAAGGGCTTGTCCCTTTTAACCAGACTGAGTGCATGCTGACGGAGATGTTGGCCAAATTCACAGAGACAGAGGCCCTGGAAGGAAGGATCTACGCATGTGACCAGTGCAACAGTAAGTGACATGTTCTGAGTGGGGGAGGTAACACAGCTTAGAAAGTTGATATGAAGTGATCATAATGCCCTCTTTTGGCTTGATACTGAATTGGTACAAAACTTTGTCACACTTTGAGTTTTTCTTCAACTTTTGTTCTCATTTTGTTAAAGGCAAATTTATGAACCTTCTGTAAACTTAAAAAAACAACAACATAGGAGTGTTCCCTCTTGTAACATTCCCCCATCGGCTTCACTAGATTCCTCAAGGAATTAAAGTATTGATTCCTCATTTTATAAGACTTGGTTAATAATAACAAACCTTAAAGGGCTATATACATGCTAGCCAAGTGCCTAACAAAAGGATCTCATCCATGTATGTTAGGTGCTATTATTATTCCCATTTCAGTAGGAAACTGAGGCAGATAGGATCGTACAGTTAAAATGTCTGGCAAGACTTGAACTTAGCTCTTCCTGAATCCAAGGCCAGCACTCTGTCCACTATACCACCTAGGGTTTGTTCAAATATTTATTTTTCCTTTTTTTTTAAAAAAAAATTATTTATTACAGAGGATGGCTCCCTAGGTAGGATGGATTAGGGGAGAGGAGAGAAGCAATGTCTTTGGAAATTAAGTTAATAAAAAAATGAAAGGAAAAATGTAATGACACGTTTATTACCTTAGACAATCAGTGCATACATACTCCACTGAAATTCTAAGACATGGTAAATTGATATCTCTTATTTAACCTAAGTTCAAATTTCTGGTATAATCATTTCTAGGGACCTAGACTTCAGAAGGAATTTATGGGTGCTGTAGCCTAGCAGAAGTGAGAGAGAGGTGGAATGACCCATTTTTAAAATGTGGGGCTTAGAAGAAGTTGAGGCACTTAAGTGAATAAATTCATGTTTGGTCTTTCAGCAATTTAAAAAGAATAATTTGTAAAAATAATATGAGATCTGAAAACAGATTTGGTAAGGCACATTTGTAGTACTAGGTTAAAAAATGTCTATGTTGATACTACTTTAAATATATTTTTGTATGATTTTTAAAATAGAGGGACAGATGATGTACTTTAAACAATTAGAGGGAAAGCCATATAACACTCAGTATCATTTACTCAGTATCATTAGTTAACAAAAATTAACTAATGTGGAGCACACACATGCTTATGCATACTGAGTTGTGGAGGCAGATGAGTTAAAAGTGACCAGGACTGCAGCTGCAGTGTCAGGCTGCTTTCTTTAGCTGCTTTCTTTAAGAAAAATGAATCACAACACTTTAAGGAAGAGAGGAGGCACAGAACAAATTTCTTGATGGTTTGATTTAGTCTGATTGACATACATTGGACATAATGTGTTAGGAAAGGAAGATTTTTATAAAAGTTCACACTTAAAATTATGTGATTTCTATTGCCCACACTGGACATGCCAATTTTCATTATTTTCTTGATAAGTGAAAAAAAAATGACAGGGAAGGAAACCCATAGTGAAGGGAAAGATACATTAATTTTTTAGTTTAGGGTGATCCATAAATGCCAGTGTTCTACCTTTCCTCTTTCTTTTTAGCATATTAAAAGGCACCCAGAACTGATACATTTTGATTGAACCTGAATTCTCTCTTCCTTATGATTGAATTAAATCTTATTTTAGGTGAACAAAGACCAGTTCTTGATTGTTATCCTAAGTTATACATTGCTTCTACCAGATGTAGTGGTCCTTGCCAGGGTTCTTAGGCACAGCAGAGATTTAATTTTTCAGATTTGAAATTTTCTTCGTAATAAGATTGCAAAACAAAGCCACGTGGCTGCTTTATTTTAGCCCATTTATTCCTCCATTCCTTACCCCTTCTACCACTGTTGCCCACCATGGCAAAGGCATTTCTTGCAGCTCCTTCATTTTGCTGCAGTCTGTAATGAGATTGACAGCAGCTCTACTGGCTGTTGTAACAAATAGCTTGTGATAAGTCATCTGGTTTCGATTTGCGTACACTTGGTGAGGTACAGATGATATGGCATGGCAGCAGAAAAGCTGGTCTCTGCAGATGTGTAGACTATGATATCAGCAACTCAGAGACAATCAACAGGCACTGTGGGGAACCACTCACTAATTTCACATCCTCTTCCTTACTCATATTTAATTAAAATAATAACAACAGCAGCCATCAGTGAATGGTTACAAAGACGGCTTCTGATGGAAATTAAGATACCTTTAATTCCATGACTTATCTCCTGAAATAGTGCAGTGCATCTCCCTACATGATCCAGCAACTTTACATGCCCTGTGTGGCATTTGAATACCAGTTCTGCTTTGGATCTGGTCACCCTCAGCCAGTCTGCCAGTGTCACCCCACATTTCCAGCAGGGCTTTTTGTCTGGGGGGAAAAATTATGGAGGTGCTGGTTGTCAGATAAGTACAATAGCAAAATACAGAACCCTGTCCATGGTATAAACAAATTATATTGAAGAAAGATATTATTTAAATGTTTTGTTAATGATGAATCTTTATTTCCCCTCTTTACTATTAACCCCAAACTGACTTTTTTCTCCATCTTATTTCATTTATGCACAAGAGCCTCAATTGAAAACCTTTCTCAGTAGACATTTTGTGGACCCACTTTAAGGCCCACCACCTTATAGTGTCATGTACTTTTAGCTTGAATCCAAGGCATAGCTTCCACTTATCATCTAATTGTATAATATATTACATGACATCATTAACCAATTTCACAGGTTGGGGTGGTTATTTTAATAGCAACATTGTTAGAATTCTTTTTTTATGGTTCCAAACCTATGATCTCATTGGTATAGAGAACTATCCACGAGGAAATTCCATCTACCAGTGCAGACTGGAAGTCATTCTGAAATTTCTGCCTAGAGCACTGACAGGTTAAGTGATTTGCTCAGCAGTATGCTGTGTCAAGGGAGAATTTTAACTCAAGACTCCTTGTCTCTGAGGCTGGCTTTCTGTTTACTACCACACACTACACTACACCACTGTGTAGCCAAAATTTGGACTATTAAAACTCAAAATTGTTCTTTATGGATACCTGAGGCCATAAGAGGGTTCTAGAGACTAGCTCCCATACATAAATTAGAGCTGCAGACAGCATTTGCAGTGACTGAGAGAGCTAAAGAATCCAGAGATATCCTGGAAGTAGGGAGGAGAAAGTGGTTAATTTTTCTCCACAAGAATCCTCTAATATGGAGCTTGAATGAAGTTCTCTGAAATGTTTGGACACTGTTCTATTCCCCTTCTTTCTCCTAACTATCCTCCCTCCCTCTCCATTACAAGGAGTTCATTATTTTTTCCACCAACATTTATCAAAACCCTCTCACACTTTAGTAGGTAGTTTCCTAAGTTGCAGTGGCTAAAATAATGATCATTTTGTGGCCAACTTTTTGGTAGTGAGCCTAAATTCAGTCTGTGCAACAGACTGTACAACAGTCTGTCATTGGGCCTTGTGCTTTTAAAACTTCTCCATCTTGCTATAAGTCCTCACCAAGCTTATGCTCTGCTGGCATAACCTTTGATAACCGTTCTCCCAGTTGGCTTGATTTGAGTACAACTGTAGGGAAGGATAAAATATATAACAATAATATTTGTCCATAGTATGTGCATTTTGTTGTAGTAAATTTTTGTTTTAATGCATAATATCCACAATGTATCTTCATATATTTATTGTTGCCATGAGATTTTAAAATGTGTAATTTTCATGTACAAATCCCCCCAAGTACATAGTGTTACAGTGACATTCTTTGGTGTCTCACTCATAAATCCATGTTACCAGGAGAGTATTTTTTTGTAGTTACAGATGTGCTGATGCTAGAAGAATTAAAAGTAGGGGGGAGGGGGAGGAATTTACTCCTTTCCCAACAAAATGCTGATTCTGTAAACAGCTTGTTTTATCCCTAACCCAACCATGCAGGCAGACGGCGTAAATCCTCTCCCAAACCCCTGGTTCTGAGTGAAGCTAGAAAGCAGTTAATGATCTACAGACTACCTCAGGTCCTCCGGCTGCACCTTAAACGATTCAGGTGAGCATCTCTTAAGAGTCACAGGTGCTGGTAAGCAGTGGGAATCTCTGCTTTGGGAGACTTTAGTTAAGCCTTTAGGGTTGGAAGAGGGGAAAGTGGCCCCTTTGAGATCCTTGGACTCCCTGTGGAGTTCAAGGGAAATAGAACATTTTATGCACAGTGAGTCTGTGTTCATGCACAGCAGGGGACTTACATATCTGCTCCTTTGGCTCTGTTTAATTGGACTTCCTGCTTTTGGTTTGTCTGCTCAGAGGTTCTCTGGAATTGCTTAGGTTTTATGTGGAACCATCTCCAGGATAGAATGAGACGTGAATTTTATAGTAGATGAATGAAAGACCAAAGGGGGTGGGGGGGGCAGGGTACAAAAGAATTAATAACTAAATGAATTTGTTAGGGATTTCTGTCTTCAAAGCATATGTTGAACATTGATTAATCTACCCTCAAAATGTCTATGTTTGAGAAAGAATTTTATAGATGAGGATCCATGCAGAAGAAAAGTTAAATGTTCTACAAATACACTTTTGCTTAGGGTTATGCCCATTTCCACTAGCGAAAATTTTGTAGAATACTGATTATACAGTAGCAATAAAAACACTAAACACTGGGCCACATTCAAAGCCATCTCCACCTCCACACCACCACGCACACTTTTTGTAAATATTTATCTGCTTTGCTTCTGATGGAGCCTTATATGTATATCCCTGTTCTAGGTGGTCTGGACGTAATCACCGTGAGAAGATTGGGGTCCATGTCGTCTTTGACCAGGTATTAACCATGGAACCTTACTGCTGCAGGGACACTCTCTCCTCTCTTGACAAAGAAACCTTTGCCTATGACCTCTCCGCAGTGGTGATGCATCACGGGAAAGGGTTTGGCTCAGGACACTACACAGCATATTGCTACAACACAGAGGGAGGTGCGTGTACCTTTTTCCAGGGTGTGGACACGATAAATTGTCAGTGTGTTCATAATGTGTGTGCTTTCTTTGCCATTCAGTCCTGTATAGTAGCCCTAATACTGCAAATCTCTGTCTGTAAGAGGAAGATCAAATCCATTAAAATCTAATGGATAAAGTCAGAACGTTTGAGTTTCAGCTCTAGTTCTATCTACTATTGACCTAAGGACCTTTCAGTCTTCCCATCAGAAATGGGGAAATGAAAGTATCATAAGATAGGAATCATAGGCTCCTAGAGTATCAGAACTAGAAGAGATTATAAAGAGATCATCTAGTCCAACCCCCCCCCCCCATTTTGTAGAATAGGAAACTGAGACACAGAAAGATTAAGTGACTAGCCCAACCAAACTCACATAGTAAAGTATAAAGCCCAGAATTTGATCACAGGCCTTCTTAACCCAAGCTGGGTTTTCTTTCCCCTCTAACATTCCGCTTTGACCTCCCTTTTCGTCGTATGTACTGTTTCTAAACGTATTGCCAAGTGTATGCTAACTATTAGCTATATAGAGAAAAAGATGAGGAATAAATAATATGTGGTTTTTCTTACTTTTGGCCATTTACAAGAATGGTCTGGTCTCTTCAGGTCTATAAGAATTATATAATAATCGAAAGTAAAAAGAAAAAAGTGTTATTTTCCACATCAAACTATTTTAAGTCACCAAATCTGTCAGCCATTTGAATATAAAAACAAATGACTGGGAACCCCTTGAGTGCTAGGGATACTCACAAAGATAAATCTCAGCAAATTCTGGGTTCTCAGTATTCAACCAATTCTTGATGATTCCTGCTAATTACCTAACCTGTGTATTGTCCAAGACCCTTTGTAGCCTCTTTCCTCCTTTCAACCCCCTCCCCTCCTTTACTTGGCTATTTCACCACCTGTTAATACCTTCTGCAGAGCAGGAAGAATAGGGATGATGGAAATTAGTCCATTTTGGTTTCTTGTGAGCAGCATTGCTGTTATTAATTATGATGGGGGGTGGGGGGGGGGAAGAAGGCTGACGTTAATTCATAAAACTAAATTTTCAAAGTCTCTATTGGTTTTACTCATGTATCCTCAGTAGAAAGATTTAAGAGTTGGCTATCTTCAGAATTCTGCTCCTTCCTTTTATCTTGTGGTCTCAGCTGCTGCTCTGGAAGCAGGAAGGTTGGGTAGTAATTCTCTTTCTTTCCCTTTGGTTTCCTAGGTTTTTGGGTCCACTGTAACGACTCCAAGCTGAATGTATGTAGTGTCGAGGAAGTGTGCAAAACCCAGGCCTACATCCTTTTTTACACTCAAAGAACAGTGCAGGGCAATGCAGGAATCTCTGAAACCCAACTCCAAGCTCAGGTGCGGTCCAGCAACAGTGATGAGGACAGAAGACTGACATTCCCCTGAAGGGATCATGGGTCACCCAATGACCTCTGGCTTGTTTTTGAAACCATCGGTGTTCATACATCTTTCCTCTTTGTAGGAATTAAGGCTGACTGAAGAAACAGATTTGCCATACTCTGGGGTCAAGAGTAGGAGTTGTCAGGCTATTCAGTCCTGTCATGAAAATCTGTAGTCAGTTTCTTTTTAATGTATTTGGATATTCCCCACCTTCCATAAAACAGAACAAAAGGAACAGCCTCTTCAGTCATCATCCTTTATCAATTTCTCTCCGTTATAAAAGGGAACCTGGTATAGGGAGATAGATGTAAAACAATGATGTCCAACAAGGATAGAAGCCTTGTTGTCATCTCCATTATGCCTTTTTCTCCCTCCTAATCGGTGCAAACCAGCACCATGAGCAGGTACAGTCCCAGCTAATGGTTATTCCCAGGTGAGGAGGAGTCCTGGACTTGAGCCAACTGCCTTATCAGGCCGGTTACCCAGGGCTGAGGCTAGATAACACATGTCTCAGGCCTGGGTAGTTGGGTAGTTTGCAGTTTAAGGATTTGGTTCTGAAAAGCAGAGGATTTGGAGAGATGGGTACTAGGCATGTGTCAATCCAGAATAAACACTTGGCTGGGGAATCACTTCAATTGTGCACTAAAAGGAAAAAAAGAAACCACATGAAGAGTGCCCATGGAACATTTTTTTTTTAATCTTAAAAAAAAAATGTCACTCCAGGCAGACAAACTCTGGAATTTTCTTAAGCTGTTTTGGGTGGGTAGAATATAAACCAAGATCCCTACATGAAGCAAAGGCAATAGTCACTTTATACATGCAAGTAGGCTTTAGAAGGGTCCTACCCATTGCTTATTTGTGCAGCACCTCTGGGCTGCCTGTTGCTTCATTTAGTGGCAGAAAGGGTAGCTCCCATAGGGATGCAACAAGATCAGTAAAGGCCGTCCATTGCACTCCACTCCTTACCTCACTGCTGAAGCAAGTCTTAGAGCTGTAGATCTAAATCATGGACCTAAGATCTATAAGTCTGTCCTTGGGTCAGCCATGTATTCCTAGGCTTCCCCAGAAGTCAGACCATTGGGAATGGGGAAGCCCTTCAGTCTGGTGTTTAACTTGAATGGTTTTTGACTCACTGACAGTACTGACATTCGAAAAGAGCGTGGGCCTCCATTGCACACTTGAAGATTTTGTATCATTCTGAGGAGTGGCAGTTGCTCAGCAACCTGTTCCCACTTTGGCTGTGCAGCTTGCAGCTTCTGGGCCTGGCCAGATCCCTCCTAAATTTCTTGGGAATTCAAGATCACTTAGAGCATACGACCTGTCAGAGAATTAAAAGCTGATGTGACCTAGGTGCTGGTGAAATGTACCTTACTCCTTAAATTGGATCTGTAGCAAAAAATTAGAATGAAATTTCACAGGTTGACCTTAAATGCGAATGTACCCTACTTAATAGCCAGCCACCACTGAGCTTACCTTCTGAGCCCTTTGGCTGTGGCAACCCTATTGAAAGTCAATTGCAAACCATAACAACAGCATTGTAGCTGTTGCTGCAGTGAATGAAGCCTCAGCTTATCACTATGAATACTCATCTTTTGACTGAGTATATCACATTAATATTTGAATTCAGGTAGAGGTACAGCTGTCATTTGAATGGAGTAAGTGTGGAAGGGAGTTTGGGAGGGAGAAAAGTTGGGAGGGAGGGAGAAAAGTTGGGAGGGAGGGGAGGGGAAGGGAAGAGGCTGAAGAAATTTCGAGGGTAGGTTTAGCCATGCTGATGAATCAGATTTCTCAAGCAGATCTGTAGCATTTGCTGTTGACCTCTTTTGAGATGGCCTCTCCCAAATGACCTACCAAACAGCGTTGAGACATAGAGACATTACAGACAAAGGATGGCTTACCCTGATAGGGAAGGGAGTAACTATACTTTGAATTAAACTTGCTTTTTCCAACACTGTGAGGTTTCTGTAATATTTAGCTTTTATTTGGAAGCGATAGCGTATAGCATTTTTTATGCTGTTTGGTTTATATTGTCTCCTGCAGGCTTCTTTATATAAGCTTTGCCCAGGGCTCGCTGTCTGCTGTACACTGTTTTAAAGTGTCACAGCTGCCAGGGCCACCAGAGGAGGTTCTGATGTGGAGGTAAGCTCTCGAGGCCCAAATTGTTAATCAACATAATTGGGAACAATGTTTTTCGTGGTGACGGCAAAACTCATTTACCCCAAGAGCTAAGGATAGTAAACCTGTTAAAAGGAAAATAAGAATCGTGCCTCATCTTTCACTGAATCCTATATTTATTATTCTAGAATTGTAGAAATTAAAAGATAGAAAAGACTAATAGAGTACCTACTCCATTCCCTCTGGCCAGTCCAGAGGGAAATTGTTTTTAAAAGATAAAAAGCAACACGATGTGATAGGTTAATACAAATACTCAAATTTAATTTTTAAAAAAAATAGTTTTATACCAAATAATTATAAGGATTATTAAGCTGATTAAAGAATGTGTAAAGTAAATGCTTAACTTGGCCAAGCACCAATACATCAAAATGATTTTTAAAACCTTTTAAAAAAATTGGATGATATAGAAACATGAGAACTACCACCCGAAGTACCCTGTTTCAGGCAGGGCAGAGGTTTTAAGAGGCCAAGTCAACACTGGAAGCTAAATGAGAGTAGAATATGAGCTGAAATTTTGAAAACTAGGGTAGGGCTTCCTTCCCACTGGGTGAGTCAGCCCAAATTTCAAAGCTCAAATGAAAAATGTTCAGAGTAAAATGCCCTTTTGTAATTTATGTAAATCTTGGACATAGACAGGTCTTAGTTGCATCGTGCTTTCCAACATAAGAAAAGAAGGTTAAGAACCAATTAAGACTTGTAAGTAAAGGCCACAAAATCTAATCCAAGTTCTACTAACTGAAACCTCATGGACCCACTTTGTTCCAAAGAGCAAGTAAGTGATTCATTAAAATCTCATTCCCAGAACACTTGCCACTTGGCCAGCACATTTACTTTCCACTATGATCTGCTTTCCCAGATGAATGCATTCTGGCCCCAAAAGGTGTTTTACCTCAAACTAGTCTGACTTTGATATTTTCATTCACCCTGAGGCAAGCATGTTTAGGCAAGCATGTGTGCTACTGTATTGTTAATCAACAATTAACCCTTGGGCAGCCAAGAACTGAAGCCCTTATAAGACCAGGCAGGGCCCTTGCCAGCTTAGATTCAGCTCCCCTCTCAGGGTAGGAGGCAGTGCCACACTGTAAATTTCCAGATGTCTCTCAAAATGTCAAAAATAAAATTGGAAACTGTAGAAGTGTTAATGTGTCCTATGGACTCAATAGCAGAGTTTATTTTTGTTTTGAATGGAAAGGCTTCTGGAGTCAATGATTGTAAAAAGTTCCCTACTCTGCCTATGCTTAGGTCCAGAAAAGACTATTTGATCTGGGGTTGGCTGGCACAACGAGTGCTCTTTGGGCCAACTGAGCTCCCATGTAAGCTGAAGCAGAAGTTTGACAAGTCACATAATGAGAACTTTTTTGGGGGGTGGGTGGGAGGAAGGCCAGAGCAGGGGTTAGGGAGGGGGGAAGGGGAATTTGCTTTACTTTATTGATAAAGCTTTGTGAGCTAATTTTATACAATTCATGAAATTTGGTGCCTTGTACCCAGTTATGGTTTGCATGGGACACGAGATTTTAGGGAAAGAATCCCCTCATCAGTCAAGTGACAAAGGAGTTTGTGTGGTTTTTCAAGGACTTTTAGCATCACATTTTTTAACATTTCATATCTGTGTGGATGCAAGTTGTTCTTACCAGCAGTTCTCAACTTTTGGTGTATTTTATTGTATGTGTCCAAAATCTTTGTATTTGTGATTATTCAAAGACAGATTCTTCCCCACTTCCTCCTTCCTTCACCCAACTTGTCTGTTGCAGATGGTGGTAACTCAGGCCTTTTCTAATCAGGTTGGGAGGACTACCCCTCCCCAGACACAGCCTATCTCTTTCCTAGGAGATTTGTGTTCATTGTAGTGTGGGAGGAGAAGCAGAGCACAAATTTTTAGAAAAGGTCTTTCAGTTTCTAACAATGACAAAGGTGCTGTTAAAAGTTAAACAGTTAAAAGCAACACAAGATTGGTTCCTCCTGAAATGGAGCAAGTGTGGACTGAAGTTCTTTGCACAGAATTCCAAGCAGTAGTGTAATAAATCCAACAATCCCCCACATGTGAATGTTATGGTTATCATGTAGGCCCAGCTGTACTATTTAATAGGACAGCTCAACATTCCCTCCCTACTCAACGCCCTTCCATCCCTCCCATCCCCTAAATCCCTTGGAGAAGACAACCACAAGCAAACCTAGTGTGTTCAGTAGAACAACCAGCTGGGAGGAAGGTGAAGGAGCCTGGTAACCTTCCATTAGGCAGCTTCTGGTCTGTTCATTTAATCCTGACCAGTAGTGGTAACATTGGATACATGAGAGGCATTCCATAAGATGATTTTTAAATATCTCACCATCTAAAACCCATCTGACAATTTGTATCTTGTCAGTTTTGTGAAGGTGATGTCTTAGACAAAGCTTCCATAGCAGTCTTCCTGCAAAGGAGGCATCCACACACCCACACAGTGAATGACTTTTGAGGTACTGAAAGTGTTTTTTAAAAGTTTCTAAATACAATCAGAGACTTATATCTTTTTTTAAGTGAGGCAGTTGGGGTTAAGTGACTTGCCCAAGGTCACACAGCTAGTATGTGTCAACTGTTTGGTCTGAGGCCAGATTTGAACTCAGGTCCTCCTGACTTCAGGGCTGGTGCTCTATCCACTGTGCCACCTAGCTGCCCCCATAGACTTATATCTTAAATGCAGAATTTGCCCTTTAGCACAGGTCTTTGACTTAAACCATCTTGTATAAAGTTACATGAATCTCACTTAAAGCTATACATGTGCTGGAGCTATAAGACTTAATCAAAGGGTGATTTTTTTCTTTTTTTTGCTGCCTCCTATCTGCTTCCTGTATCTTGGATCTAAGAAAACATTTTCCAATTTAATATCCAAAGGGCCACTTTAAGACAGCATTTTTTAAATAGCATGCGTCACAGCCTCCGTAAGACTGAAGGGATCATATTAATATGAGTTATCTGACTTGGGAAAACATAAGGTGTATAGACACCAAATGACAGCAAAATCTTAATTGACAATTGGATATGAAATAGAAATCAGCATTTCCCACAACTGATGGTTGGTTACCAGGAAACTGACTTAGTTCCCTTTTGGAATTTACTGGTTCATTAGCTATACTGGCACCAAATTCCTAACTTTTTGCAGGACGTGTTTTATACAAAACCTTCCCTACCTGCATTCTTGAAAGTAAGCCAAAATTCCCCCCAAAAGATTTCTTAAAATGTTAATATTAAGGTGCCATTAAGATTAAATTTTTATTTTTTAAAGGCAGTTGGGGTTGAGTGACCTACCCAGGGTCACACAGCTAATAAGTGTCAAGTGTTTGGTCTGAGGCCGGATTTGAACTCAGGTCCTCCTGACTTCAGGGCCGGTGCTCTATCCACTTCGCCATCTAGCTGCCTCTAAGATTAAATTTTCACTGATCTGAATGGAACTGCTTTTATTTTGCAATGTCTTAAGAACTTTTACTGAATTTTGATTAACACCTCAAACTTAAGTTATTCAGAGCTCTGAATAGATCTGAGATGTTTTAAATAAGCACTGGCTTATGTGGGCTATAAATTTTAAGACCATGTGTTGGTTGGTATTCCTTTAAGACTGGGCCAGATTATTGCCTAGAATGCCTACTGTGACTTAAAATATTATCTGCCTTCACCACTGACAGCAGTAGATCCTTATATTATCTGCTAGACTCATGGTTTCCTATAATCAGATTTTCTGCTGCAAGGGACTTTGGAGATCACATAGTCTGACATGTTCATTTTGTAGGTGAGGAAAATGAGGCCCAGAAAGGAGTTTGCCCAGTACCACATAGGTAGTAGTAGCAGAGTCTCCTGTTCATAGAAAAGTACTATCCTTTTGGATATTCCTGTTGGGATATGCCTAGGAAGAAAATTGTATCTATCATCTGTTTACTTTACACAAATGGCAGAATTAGGATTCTGACAGTGAATGAAAGAAAAACTATATTCTACCATCTTGAGGCAAAAATTAAGTTCCATGAGGGCAGATTCTAGAACAAATCTCATACCACACAACAGACACCTCATAAAAGTTTGAGCCGAAAGCATCCCCACTCATGTAGGCCTTCAGGAAATTCAGTTCCACAAACATTAAACAGTTATTATGTTCAAAGCACTGTGTTAAATAAAAAGGAAAAAAATTTGCATAAATGGGTACTAAGTATGTAGCCAGAGCTAAATGCAAATGTTGGAAACAAGGACTCAACATGTTTGAGCTTCCAAATCTGATCAATAATTGGCTAGGTCAGATCTTTAATTGGTTAAGGGTAGCCTGTTTGACCAACCCTTTTTCTCCTCTACAGGAGTCTCTGTAGGGCCTATTTTCCTTTCTAGAAACAACTTAGTCTTTAATGACCTCATTTGCCCCAGAAACTGAAATTTCTGAAGGCAGCTGCTGAGGTGGCATCTACATTTAACATTTTTACACAGCTGAAGATTCTCCCTCATTCCCAGATCTCTAAATCAACTCCTTGCACATTCTGTTTATAAAGAACCTTGAGCTCTTATGTTCTTTATACTTCCATATTAGGTCTGGCAGTGTCTTTTTCAAGTGGAATCATTTTCATGCACCTTATTTGGGTTACAATTTGGGTTGCTTCCCCACTGGTTTCTTGGTATAAAACACACACTCATGCACTTCTCTGGCCTCGATGTCTCCAGACTTGAACCTGAATTCCATCAAGTATCCTGGTGGCAACACTAAAACCTGCCTAAAGCACTAAAATGCTATGCAACACCAAACTGGCATCCCACACCCTTGAAATCCTGCTCAAAATTTGTTTCCTCTTAGGTGAGTTTTACCCCACAATTACCAACATCAGTTTCTGGTAGTTGCAATTTGCCTGATCAGGACTTTTTTAGTTTTGTTTTCCCTTTGAGCAGCTGACAAGTCCCCTTTTACAACCCATGATGGGGGCCTGTTCTGTTCTCTTTTGGATGTGAAATATGAATCATGTTTTTATGATTTTTGTAAATCTTTACTCTTTTTACACCTTGTTTTTGTAAGCTGAAGTTTCCTATTAAAAAATAAAATCCCAGGGTCTTTGTTAACTGTCTTTATTTCAAACATTTTAGGAGAAAAAAAGAATCTTTGTATAACTAAAGAAAACAGCAAATGCCACTTGCAACACACTCCCTGCCTGGCATCTGCCCAACCTGCAAGGATTTGGAAGATATATACAATATATGGAGCAAAGGCAATATACCTATACTCACACCGTGCCTAAGTAGACACTGAAGCTATGGCTGATCATAGACTGACCAAGGAAGAAAGACAGCTAGTGTAGGGAAAGGAATGTAGCAAGTCTGAATTAAATTTGTGGTAGCCAGTCAAAGCAGGTCTTCTGGTGGTCATGTCATGGTCATAGCTGCGGGTTGAATAGAGCTTCCAAGAAACTGCATTCAGATCACGGAAGGCAGTATTAGAAATGAAGTCACTAGTAACATCTGTGGAAAAAATACATTGGACTTGAGTTTTAATTTCCTCGCTTTTCACTTCCCTACACTCAATGGATAGGGAATGTACATTAGGATGTACAGACATGATGACTCAAGGACTTCCACTTGTCCTGGGTATGCTTCTAATAGTTTGGGTACTTACCAGCTGTGCTACAGGCCTGGCTGGGGTGCCATCAAGTCAATGTCGCTCAGGTTCCTAGCCAGCCACACACCAGCAGCAAAGAGTCCCAAATTAACAATCAAATTCCTGGAAAATAGAGAAGTTTTTAAAAGTCCTAGCATTGGTGATCTTATTTTTTATGAAGACAGATTTAGGAAAAAGGGCCTAATTCCCCTATTAACACCCAGAGAAAAACTTACCTTCCAGGAGAGGCAATAAAAATAAGGGGATGTTTAAACTCTTTCTTCAAATGCCAGAATTGTCATTTAGGGTGCTTTTGTTAGCACCCTAAAATTCAAGGACAGTGTTGTCAAGACAGATAAAAGGACAACTTTTAAGAACTACTTACTGTGCCTTAAAGAACAGGAAGCGCCTACCTCTAAAAAGAAACTGGACAGGCAGGAACAGAACTGGAAAGTCATTACAGATTCCCAATTTCTGAGTGGGGTCCCCAGAAAAGCAGGTGGAGAAACTCAGACACCAAAGAGAGAGGGAGAGTGTTAGGGTATACTAAGGAGTCAGGAAACGGGTTCAAATCACAGTGATTAGGTGTTTCGACCTTTCTGAACCTCCTTTCCTCTCCTGCAAGATGTAGCAAATGATTTTATCTACATAACAGGTTTACCCACAAGTCCTGTGGGAAAAGTCTCATATAAATGTTAAAGCGTTTAAGTGTGGTCTATTATAACAGCAGTTCGCATTTAAGGATAAAATGAGCTTAGGCGATAAAATGAGATAAGCGAAAGAGGCCATAGGAAATTCTCTTGGCCTGTCTGACATTGTGAAAATGGAATTATAGACCTAAAAATGACTTCAGAGTTCATCTAGTCCAACTCTCCCTTAATTTTACAGACGAGGAAAGCAGGGAAAGTCATAAAAACAGTGGCTTCCTCACGCAGGGAAGGTGACCGTCCCAAGGTGACACCGCGTGTCAGAGGCAGAGTCAAGACTGGAGCCCCACGTCCCCGCGCACAGCCCCCGCCCCCACCGGGGTCAGGCCGGGCTTTGGGGATCCCTCCTGCAGCCACGGGAGAAGGGAGGAAGGGGAGCCACCCTGGCCCCGGCCGAGAAGAAGGCGAGGGAGAGGGACCCAGTTACCTCCGGAAGTCGTTCCTGTCGGTGGCAAAGCGATAGGCGCCCCGCAGCCATTCCCCGACGCCCTCAGGGGCTCCAGACCCTCCGCCGGAGGCCCCTGCAGGAGGCACCGCCTGAGGCGGCACCGAGGACCCGCTCGCAGCCATGGCAGGTAGCCCAAGGGTTCAGCTCCACATGGACGCGACTCACCAGCACGGTCGCTCGGCGCCCCTTGTTTACGTCACTTCCGTCCAGGACCTTCCCTCCGCCCTGTCCCCCTCCCTCCGCCTTTAGCCGCAGCTGGGCAACTCAAAGCCGACAGGGGGCGAGCGTGCACTACGGGCAGGACACGTGGTTGGGAGAGCCGGGCTCTTCGAGGCTGAGACCAGGCTTAGCCACCCTGTCCAGCGAGTCACTCACACACGGGGTCACTGGGTCCGACGGCCAGGGCATGTAAAAGCATGGAGCCAAAGGGTGGAAAAGGGACCTAAGATATGAATTCTCTAGTCCAACACAAATTTGAAGAGAATAACCACGAAAGAGGGGAAAGTGAGTTTGTTCAAAGTCACATGGTCAGTTTTATTTACACCATTGTGTCAGCACACCAGCCAGTCAGTCAAAAAGCACTTATTAAGTGCCTGCTTGGTACCTGGCACAGTGCCTTCATTCAAGGTTAATAAATACTTGTTAACTGACCCCCCCAGGTTTCAGAACTAACTGAGCTTTCACTGAAGATGTGGTTGACCTGAGGACAGCTGTCAATGCAAGGCTAGTACTAGCTCTATCTGGCCTGGCAAACATGGAGCTGAGATAGTCCCAAAAGACTGGACCTATTTGAAGATGAAGAAAAAGTATATGCTAGTCAGGAAGTTGGGTATCTTCACCCCACAGCAGAGTCCTATCCACTCACTCCCACCCCCAGGCTTGGGACCTGAACCCCTGCTCACTGCTGAAATGTCAGTGTCCTTGGTTGCAACCTCCTTCACTGAGGACTCCAGGCTCCATTTTCTAGAGGGGGGGAGTCTTCTGTCTGGGACAGAGGCTCAGGTTCACACTTCCTCACCACCTACATCTGAGGCAGTAGTAGTAAGGGTGAGGAGGGCAGAATTCTAGCAGACCCTACACTGTCTCCCTGGGGCTCTGCCCCCAGCATGTAGGTGGAAACTGCCAGGATCAGCCGGGCTCCCATCCCCAGGCTGGGGTAAAGGCTGTCCCAGAAAAAAGCCATCAGGCTCAGAGTCCGAAGAGGAAGAGCAAGTGGGGCAGGGTCCATCTTCCCCTGAACATGGGGTCCTCAAAGAGCAACTCGGTCTTCTCTCTTCGGGGCTCTTCTCAAGGATCTCAGCACTGTTTAGGAAGCTCTGGGGAATCTCATCTTTCTCAGGGCCATCTCTAGGCTGCTCCATCCTGTTTTCATGGCAGGAACTGGAGCAGACAGCAGTAGGATCTTTGCTCTGGGAGGCTGTGAGAGAGGAAACAACAGAGGTCAACCTATCAATTAATCAAGCATTTATTAAGCATCACTCTGACCATCCTCAGTCTTTTTGATAGACCATTGTCCCATTGCTTTAATTGGAGGCATTCCTCCTTTTCAGTTTCCTTTTACACGTTGTCTTTCTTCATTTAGAATGTAAGCTCCCTGAAGGCGAAGATTGTCTGTATTTGTATTCCCAATGCTTAGCACTGTGTCTGGTACTGTAAGTGCTTAATAAACAATTCTGGACTTGACTTACCTATAACCTCTGTTTGGCATTTAAAGCTCTTCAAAACCTACCTTTCCATCCTTATACATCCCCCTTAACACAATCTGTGGTCCAGCCAAACTGGCCTTACTTTTTCTCACCAAGAATAATACTTCATATCCCTGGTTTGCACCTTTCCACCAAATTTGGAATGCACTCCTGCCTCTTGTTCCTCTCAACAAGCAAGCACTTACTATGTGCCAGGCACTGTGCTAAGCACTAAGAATACAAAGAACAACAAAAAGTCTCTTTCCAGGCTCAGATCAAATGCCACCTTTTATAAAAGGCCTTTCCTGATCTCCCAGGGGCTAATGCCTTCTAGCAAAATTACTTTGTATTTATTTTGTGTATACTTCTCTCTGTAAATATGTCCCAGATACAATGTAACCTCCTTGAGATGAGACTGTTTCACTTTTTGTTATTGTATCCCTAGTACCTACCTAAAAAATGCTAGAAGACTGATAGTTTGATACTCTGTATCAGGAGCTGGAGCTGCAAAGACACAGGATCTAGGAACTTAAATTTATAGCCGGAAGCGACTTTAGAGGTCATCTAGTCCAACTAGGTAGCATAATGGATAAAGTCATGCACTTGAAGTGTGGAAGACCTGAGCTAAAATCCCATGAACTCTCTCATCTTGCAAGGAAAAAAAACAGGCCATGAGAGGTTAAGTGACTTGTCATATAAGTGTAAGTGGATTCTGTAAGAAAGGGTTCCCTTTGAATCCCCCTTTTGAGTCCCGGTCCCCAACTCATCAAACCTTGAGTCGTGTTCAAGCATCAAATTGCTTCAGTGCTCCTGCTTAGAAAGAGAGGGTGGAAGAGTTCAGATTGCTGAAGGAAAAGATTCTGGGAAGATGTGAGAACTGGCCGTTTCTATCATGTCCCTATACCCAGCTTACTACTCTAGAGATTTAAAGTTTACCCTTAGGTGAGCTCTAGGACCCTCTCTCCTGGTTAAACTGAATTAACTTGCTCCTAAAGGGAGAGTGCCTTCACTCTGTGTTGTCTGGCATATATCCTCCTATGTAGACTTTCTCTGATTTCTGTTATGCTGTGATTTATATAAATGAGTTTCTTTGCTACTTACTGCATGTTTATTGTGAAACTGGGAAAGAGTCAAGCCTTAGATATGCAGCTGGGGATATCCTGCCCGCCAAAATAACAAAGCAATCAGAAGTTAGACAGAACCTGATCATATCCCCTAGACTACAGTATCTAAGAGAACAGACAGATATACTTCTAGCCTGATACTTCCTCTCACCGAGGAAAATAAAGTGGTAGCCTATAACCCTAACTTCCTGCTTTTCCTCTTGATAGGAATAAAATCTCCCTTGGAGAAGGGTAGAGGGAGAAGAAGATAGAGATGTCTTTTTTGCCTCCCTTTGAGCAATACAGGGACAGCCCTCACTACATGTGTGGGACCCACTGTTGTCTTTGCTACACATGGGAGCTCTGTCCATAGGAATATTAATTTTTGGTCACATTTTTACAACATATTGTTGGATTTGGGAATTACTTGCCTTCTCAATGGGGGGGGGAAGAAGGGAGAGAATTTGGAACTCAAAGTTTTAAAAACAAATGTTAAAAATTGTTTTTACATGTAACTGGGGAAAAGTAAAATACTAAATAAAAGCTTAATAATAATAATAATACTGTCGTATTTGAGGGCTAGGTTCTTTTTTTCCCCTAGAAGCTGGAACAAATTACTTTCTTTCCTGTGCTTTAAATGCCAAACAAAGGAATTTACACCTGTCTTTAACATTAAGATTTGAACTAAATTGGGGACCTAGCCAGCATAGTCCACTCCCCTTCCCCCAGCACACCTTATTATTTTTTAACCCAGTCTGCACCTTCAATGACAACCTCAGACTAATTTGATGTCTCTTCTTACTGACCCAGAATAAAACTCAACAGAGATAGCAGCTAGGCCCCCTTAGCAGGTGCTGCTCCTCACCCTACCTTCTTCCTCACAGCCCCCACCTCTGTGGATACAGGCAACCCTGCTGGGATAGAGGGAAGAATGCTTTTCTATTCTGTGTTGAAATACCCTCCCTTCTCTCCCCCACAAGGGTCTGGGGAGTGAATGAATAAACAAGTTTTGGGGAAGCATGATGGAAGTTGGGGAAAGGAAAAGGAATAGCTAAGTTTTGGGGGGCCATGACCAAGGGTCTCTAACCCCCAGGTCTATAGTAACATAAATTCATGACACTGCTTAGTGTCACCTTCAAGCCTAGGGATGGCTGTCTCCCTTAAATGGGAAGAAAGAGAAACTGCTGACTACACAATCAAGAGATGGATTTCAATTCTTACACCAGAGGGTAGCAGAACCAGATTAAAATGCAATTGGGAAATATTTAACAAATTAATTAAAAATACAATAGAAGATAATGTTAATATGTGGTGTTCTAAATTGACATTTGACTGGCAGGGATCCTTATTTATGGTTCAGTGGTCCTCATTTCTATTTGTTCGACACCACTGTCTTAGACCACTAACTTACCCAAGGTTGTGACCAGCTAAACATTTTAGTCTCTGAGCCCCAACTTTCTCATCCTTAAAATGAAGAAAGGAACAATTGTGCACTCCCTACCTCCAAAGGTTGCAGAGGGAAAAGTACTTTGTAACACTAAATGGCCTCAAAGGCAGAAAGACCAGTTCAAGACCTTGATAACAAGGCTCCAAGACTGGAAGTGGAGGAGTAGGTGTCAATCTGCATTGGTCAAAGGAGTTTCCAGCATCCAAGAAATCACTCTTGTACTGGGTGTGGGAGGAGATGGGGATAGCAGGGAAGACCTCTATGCAAATGTAGCTATTATTGTTAGCTTTCCAAATCATATCTGCTGTTTTGCTTGGTCTCAATTCCTTGGAAAAAGATGCCCCTTCCAGATTAAGTTCATCACCTCTAAATTAGGGCAGGTAAGGGGTACAGTGGATAGAGCACTGGGTTTGAAATCAGGAAGACTCATCTTCATGAGTTCAAATCTAGCCTCAATCACTTACTAGCTGGGTGACCTTGGGCAAGTCACTTAGCCCTGGTTGCCTCAGTTTCTTCATCTGTAAAATGAGTTGGAGAAGGATATGGCAAACCACTCCAGTATCTTTGTGAAGAAAACCACAAATGGGGTCACAAAGAGTCACATACAACCAAAAATGACAACAAAACCTCTAAACTACCATGCTACTAACTCAAGCTCAGATTCTTATAATCTAGCCAATAGCTTGCTAATGTTCAGACTCCTTAAGAGTCTGCCCAATATGATGTGTGTTCTAATAAACCTTGTCTTTGGCTGAAAGAAGGCATGGGTCGAATTCTTTCAGGCAGGACCTGCATGTTGTGATCTTGGGGTCCCAGCACCCCTAAACCCCTAAACATCAACGTTTTGATGGCCGTACAAGGAAACTGTCTAACCCAAGTTCTTCTCCAACCAAGACTGGAAAGATATGTAAGCCTCCTCACCACCTTTCTTGCTCTGCAGGTGGTCACTCTCCAAGCACCAAGGCTTGGAGGTGCTTTTCAGGCAGAGAGTTACGAGGCTGTCTCACACTGGGACTGACGCTCTCAGATTCTTGGTCCGCTGGGTCAGTTGAAGGCCATGGACCTGGGTACACTTTCCACAGCATAGAGGACAAGGACGGATGCCCTATCTTGAAGTGTATGCTCAATTCTGTTAATTCTCTCTGTGCTAAAGAATTGGGGAAAACTGCAATTGCTTTTTGGTTCCCTGAGGCTTACTTACTCCTTTCCCTCTACACCTCTGAATCCTCCTTCATGGGGGTTACAGGGAAAAGTTAGAACAGCTAAAAATATCTTGGCAGATTTTGGAGCTTTTGTGATTGATCATTAAGGAGTTTTGAAACTCCCTCTTACAACCCTGGTCACTTCTTTCTCCCACTCCCTTTCCCTTGAGTCAGGAGGGTATCTCTCATAGGAAAAGAGAGTTTCACTCTTTACCCCTCACCATGTCCCTCAACCTCCTCTCTCTTCTGACTGTAGAGGTGGATAGAGGAGTAACAAATTCTTCTCAATGTCTTCCTTCATAGAGGGCACAAACTGGACTTCTTGCCCCACTTCATTCAGCATCTGCTGCTCTGGTCTCAATTCCACAGAACAAGATGCAAGACGCCCTCCTGTGCCAGGTATTCCCTGGTGTACCTCCCCCATCTCCCACTACTACTTCCCTTTCCTGCCTCTTTTTACATGTGGTCTCTCCACCCCCTCCCCCAGTTACATTGTAAACTCCTTGAAGGCATGGACTGTCTTTCTTTTTTTATTAATTGTATCCCCAGCATTTAGCACAGTACCTGGCACATAGCAGGCGCTTAATAAATGTTTATTAGATTATATTGGATTGGATTGGACCTCAAGTTCCAGTCTAGGCTTCTCTAGCTGTCTGCCCCATACCCTTCCCTTTAAGTTGATTCTCCTCTCTTACCAAAGGTCTCTTCTACAGGCTGGCTGGAGTTGGGATCAGAATGAAGTCGATTTTCAAAGCATCTGGGGCAGCAGGGACCACTGCCAGGCAGAGCATACTGCCCAGAGCTCAGAGGTCTTGTACAATCTAAGCAGCAGAAATGATCTTCATGCCAGCGTCTCCCTGCAGCCTCTGTGCACCTGCCAGAGAAGATGAGCTACAGAGTAAGGGGAAGAAGAGAAAGACAGACATGAAGAGACCTGCTTGAGATCGGGAAGGGTGAGAGGCTTGCAGATTGTAGAAAGTGAAGGCTGGGTTAGGAAGAGGCAGGTGGGGCCCTGGACCAAACACTGGCCTGGAAGCTAGGAGACCTGGATCCTCAGAAGTGCTCTGCCGCTAACCAGTTACTAATCTGACCAAGTCTCTGGGACTCAATTTTCCAATCTATAAACTGAGGGTATTGGGCTGCAGTGGTTCTAAGGCTTAACCCTCAGGAGGTCCCCATCTCTTCCTCTGCCTCAGCCACCTTCCTTCTGTTCTTCTTCCCTTCCAAGGGAACCATACCTACTTGGTCACAGGCAGGGCAGCGAGGTCTGAGCAGCTCCGCATGGTGCCTGCCACAGTACAGATGCCCCTTGTGGTAGAAATAGATCAGGTCTAGGAGGGCCTGGCTACAGGTCTGACAGGTGAAGCAGCCAGGATGCCAGCAACTCCTCTCCCCTGCTCTAGCTGCAAACACCCCAGGCTCACCTGGTTTCAGATTTGCACCACACTGTGGGATAAGGAAAAGTGTCAGGAAAGAGCCAAGAGAAATTCTCCATCCTCTCACCTTCCTGCCTCCTGCTTTTGGAACCTTTCACTTTAGCCTCTAAAAGGTCATCTCTAATTCCTTCTTCTACCCCTCAGCCTCTGCCATTCCCCTCCCAAGAATGCTTACCTGTTTACACATATGCAGGCACATACACATGCATACATAGATATACACCTCCTAGCGTCTATCATATTCTTTCCCCAAATCAAGCTTCTACCACAACTTTCCTCCACTTTTCTATTCCTCTGTGAAATTTTCTCCCTATTCTATTTCTGTAATGTTCTGCTCACCCTCCTCCTTACAGTTTCTTTTTTAAAAGTTGTTTTATTCATTTTGAACTTATATGCATAAAGACAAAAAAATTAACATTTTCATGTACACAGTACAACAGAGAGGATTCATATGAAACTATGAATTTCCATTTCATAGTGTTTAAAAAAATATGTAATAAGTACTACATACTTCTTTTTTTTAAAGAACCTGATAGTTCATCAATATAGGATGCCCTAGATAAGGAACTTCCTCTCCCAAACAAGATCAGAACCTTCTCTACAATTTACAATCTTGGAGCATTGCCTAGGGGCACTGAGAGGTAGTGACTTGCCCAGGGTTATACAGATTAGGACCTAATCCCAGGTCTTTTTGACTCTGTGGTCAGCTCTCTATCCTCTGTGCCATAGTGACTCTATGGACCCCTTAACACCTCCATAATGCAAAACCAGCCCTTCCATTTGACCCCTGGAGTTGAAGCAGAGATCCACAATGTTTAGAGGTGAGGGTAAATAATAATGACTGATAAGGGCATAATGATACCAAAGGAGTAGTGTTCTGGAGCAGCTCACCTTCTCACACATATACCCTTCAAACCTAGAGGGCACCAATCGAATGACCCCCTGACCCAGGGCCTCCTGTCTCCGATGGGCACTGAACAGCCGAAGCTGGAATCTCTCTTGTTCCCCAAGCATTGAACAATACCGTTCCTGTCAAAATTCATAGTGATTCATAGTACAGCAGTGTTTAGGGGATGAGTAAACTTAGACCAAAGAAAAAATGATTGATTGCTAGGAAGGAGGAAAAAAGAATATAGAGCCTTCTTGTTTGAAAAGGAAAACTGGGAAGAGGAGGCTAGTAGGTAGTCCAATAGGAGAAAAGGGGAAAAAAGCAGAGGGCAAGCCTGAGTATCACCTCTTCCAGGAAGCTTTCCTTGATAACTCTCAATAGCACTGATCTCATAGCATCATAGAATGAGAAGTGACCTTAGCCATCATTTGTAACCTTAGACATCATTGTCTAAACCATTTTTATCTACAATAATTTTTATTATTGCTCCCCTCCATGTTTCACCCATTCATTCTTGTTTCCCAATTAACACTGTAAAAATTTCAAGTTCTAAACATAAAGAAAGTCATCTCAATGAATACAGGATGAATTGAGATGAACTGCTCTGGGAGAGAGGGTAACAAAAGAGAGAGAAAAGAGAAGGGGAATTAAGCAGACAGGGCTGGCATTTGGGGCTCACATCACTGTCTTGTGGAGGCAGCTGCTGCAGGAGAGTCCGGATCCGAAGCCAGTCAGGAGAATTGCTAGGATCCACATAGGAGGACTCCAGGTCATGGTGTCCAGGCGCCTGAAGAGACAAGGCAGAGACCTGAAGCAGCTGATAGGAGTTAGAATGCAGTTGGGCTTCTTTCATCACCTCTTGCACTCCATGGGAACCTTTCACTTTTCTCCCCTACAGATTCTTTCCGCATTGGGGAATTCTTTCTATGTTTCCCTTCGTCAAAACCCACATGGCTTGACTCATGCCAATAATCATGGAGACATTTGAAGGATTCTAGCAATACTCTCCATATCCTAAAATATCTGTTCCACTGGGGTCTGAAACTTGACCATTACAAATTCATTCATTTGTGCTAAATAATGCCCTCTTCCCATAATCCTCTTTTAAAATGTGACTATTTCAGATGCATGAAATCCCTGACACCATTAGTTCAAATGCTCTAATAGGTCTGATTTTCATCCAGAGAGAAGACCTGAGCTCAGATTCTTAAAATCTAGCCACTGCTTAGATTCTTATAATCTAGCCACTGCTTACCCATGTTCAGATTCCTTAAGAGTCTGCCCAGTATGACGGATGTTCTAATAAACCTTGTCTTTGGCTGAAAGAAGGCTTGGGTCGAATTCTTTCGGGCAGGACCTGCGTGTTGTGATTTTGGGGTCCCAGCACCCCTGAACCCCTAAACCGCATCAATGCCATTGTATCTCATTTTACCTTAATTTTAAAACATAACACTAGAGAAGACCTGAGGGCTGCATATCTGGAGGTGGGGAGAGTTGTATGAGATAGTTTTGATTGAAGTTGACTCAACCAGGAAAGCAAATTCCCCAAACAGATACAAGATTCTGCTTGTCCAGGAGGGAGAAGAGGAAAGAGTTTTTCTTACCTGAGAAGGTAGGGGATCTGTTCCTTCCTCCTCCAGGGTGCAGTAGGATTCACTGTCCAACAAGCAGGCTGATGTCTCCTGATCCCTGGAAGTGAATTTATCTTGCTGGGAGCAGACTTCAGACAGCATAGAGGGATCTACTCAAGGAAAGGGGTCTGTAATAATTAATCATCATAATAATAATAACAACTAGTATTTGTATAGTGCTTTAAAGTTTGCAAAGCACTTTACAAATATCTCATTCTATTCTCACAACAGCTATGGGAGGTAGGTGCTATTATTATCCCCGCTTTATAGATGGGGTAATTGAGGCCATCAAATGTTAAGTAACTCGCTCAGGGTTGCACAGCTAGTAAGTGTCTGAGGTCAGATTTGAAACAGGTATTTCCGACTATAGGTTCAGCACTCTGTCTACTGTGCCACCTAGCTTCTTGTGTAAAGAAGAAAGAGCCAGGGGCTAGGAATCAAGAGTCCTGGGCAAATCACTTAACCTCTCTATGCTTCAGTTTCCTCATACATAAAAGGAAGAGTTTGGAATCCATGATTTCTAAGATCACTTTAGCATTCTATGATTCTGTGTTCTGCTCTTCATTAAGCAGACCCAGTCAGATCTCCTCACTATTTTCAATACATACTATGCTATACTCTAAGATTTGGAGTCAAAAGGCCTGAGTTTGAATCTTACCTTTGCCACTATTTAGTTGTGTTACCTTAGACAAGTTACTTCACCCCTCTAAGCCTTAGTATCCTTATTTGTGAAATGAAGGGGTTGAATTAGATGATCTCTGAGTTTTCTTCTAGCTCTGTGAATATGATTCTATGATTTTGTCACCTTCACCTAATTTTAACCTCCAAGTCTTTTGTCTTTTTTTCCTTCTACCCTCAGTACTCTCCCAGATGCCCATCCAAATCCCACTCAGCTTTCTAGACTCAGAGGACATGCAATCTTCCCTGACCATGGGAATCCCCAATGGTCTTTTCCTCCTCTGAACTCCCATTGCACTGACGGTCCCTTGCACTATGGCATTTAATTTTTCTATCATTATTTTCCTTTTTTTTTTCTTCCTAACTAGACTGTAATATCATTGAGTGAGGGGCAGGTAGGTGGTGAAGTGGATAGAACATCAGGCCTGTGTTCAAGAAGAACTGAGTTAAAATCTGCCCTTACTAGCTGTATGATTTTGGGCAAGTCACTTAAACCTGATTGCCTCAGGTTGCTCATCTATAAAATGAGCTGGACAAGGAAAGAGCAAACCACTCCAGTATCTTTGCCAAGGAAACCCCAAAGAATCAGACACAATTGAACAACAAAAATCATTGAATGAAGACTGATGCCTATGTGTCTCTATTATGGAATCCCCAGCCTCCCCCAACCTCCACCAGTCCTTAAACCTAGCACAGTGCTTGAAACGAAATGATCAATAAATATGTTGATTGATGATTGACTTTTGGTCTTGGTTCCCTCCTCTCTAAAATGGGAATAATAATTCTTGCACTACCTCACAGGGTTGCTATAAGGAATTGGCCTTTATAAACTACAAATCCTTATGTGAATGGGAGTTATTCTCATTTAAGATCCTGGCAGTGGGGTCAACAGACAAAGTCTAGATCAGGGGTGGGGCACCTGCAGCCTTGAGGCCACATGTGGCCTTCTAGGTCTTTGGGTACAGCCTTTTGATTGAGTCCAAGTTTTATAGAACAAATTCTTTTATTAAGGGGTTTTGTTGTGTGAAGTTCAGATTCAATTAAGGGGGCATATTTGAGGATCTAGAAGGCCACATATGGCTTTGAGGCTGAAGGTCCCCCACCCCTGGAAGACTATTTAAATAGTAAAGTGGCCCTGCTCCAACAACCTCTCCATCTGCCATCATATTTCTTTATGGGTATCCCCTTTCCTGCTCTATCCCACCTCTCCCACAGTCCATTTCCTTCCTCCTACCTTCCCTGGGGTTCTCTTGTATGTTTCCTGTAGGGAGGAGACCAGACGGGAAGGTTTACCCTCATACATCCCCCTCTATTCAGTCATTTTCTCGCAGGATGCTGAGCTCCTGAGAAAGAGAATCTTTGAATCATCATCTCAAAATTGGAAGGAGCCTCAGAAGTCATCGTTGCCAAACTATATCTGAACAACATCCCTGGCAAGTGGTCATCTGGCCTCTATTCTACTCTAAGATCTCTTCTAAGGGGCAAGTCACTAGCTCCTTGGGGAAGGGAAGGAGGGGGGGAGGGAGGGAGGGAGAAAAAAATCTGGAACTCAAAATCTTATGAAAGTGAATGTTGAAAACTAAAGAAATAAATTAATAAATTGTTTAAAAGTCACTAGCTCCTCTTCAGCAATCCCTTCCACTTTAGGACACCTCTAACTGTCAGCAAGTTTTGCCTCCACTTGTAACTTCCACCGGACTTCACTATTAGTTCTGCCTTCTGGGGCTGAGTAGGGCAGGACTACTCCAGAGCATAAAAGGTTTACATGTGCATAACTGGTGAAGTGGGGAAAGTATTGAGTCTTGTGGCAGAGGACCTGGGTTCCAATCCTAGCTTTGTTTCTAAATAACTATGTCACTTAACCTTTCTCTGTTTCACTTTCTTCCTCTATAAAACAAACCAGCTGGCCTCTGAGATCCCCTCCAGTTCTAAATCTAAGATCCTATAAAAATTATCATCACTTCATTTGAAAACTGTGTCCCCCCTGGGTGTTACTGTTCTCTCATAGGCTTTGGTTCTTCATTCTAAGACATATATACAGACTTGTCAGAAAAGAAATAGCTACTTGACATGGAGGATAATGTTTTCTAGCAGCTAACATAAATGCTTTTATTTTGCATGCTCTCTATCTTGACTCTCCTTCTAAGGTAGCTGCCTGCCTTGCCAACCCTTAGTTTCAGCCTTTCAGAAAAACAGCTCTTTCAATATACGAAGATAGTAATCCTGTGTCCTTAGGTGCCAGAGGAAGGTCGAGTATGGATGGAGCTGGATAGCAGAAGGGAGTTCCGTAAATGATGTTGACTTGGACACAGGAAATTCCTATTCCCTTAAAATCACACTGTACAGAAAATCACTTCCACCTCCAATACCTCTCAGGCTCCCCTTGGTCCCAACCCCTGGGCCCTCCCCATTCACTTGCCTGTAGCTTTCTCTCCTCCGGACCCCAGGGTTTGCTTAAGAAGTCCTCGAGGGGCCAGGTGCTGCGGGCTTCCTAGGGAGTGGAAGATGAAGAAGACCCAGTGTGTTTGGTCCCGGGATAGGGACACTCAGCATTCAGGTGAGCGAGCATGAATTCTTCTCTTCTTACCAGCTAAATGATTAACCAGACGCCAGCTCCGCCGGGGGCAATGCCCTTTGGGGCCCCAGCACCGGCCGGATGGGTGGAGAGGAGAGGAGAGAGAAGGGAAGGGAAAGAGGCAGGATTCCGACATGGGATCCGCCTCCAGAGATCATTCTAGCAGCCAAACCCATGGGGAGGGAAACAGGGCACATGGGGAACAGGAAGGAAGCAGATCTACTTCTCTGTTCATGACACCTTTTTCTTCTCCCTCCCCTCCAGTCCCCAAAGCTGTGTTAGGTTAGGGAATTTCATGCTATCACCTCCCTCCAGGCCACTGCATCTGCCCCTGAACCGCCCTCTATTCCCGTCCTCTCTCCTCCCCAGTCCCTCCCCTTGCAATTTCACTCTTAGCCAGACGGCTTTGGGAACACAAAAGTCTGAAGCACCGATCCTGGAAATAAAAAGATTGTGTGACGTGCGGTGAGAGAGGGCAGGCAGGAAGAGCGCTCCCTTGTATCCCGGTACAGAGCAGTGACACGGAGCCTTACCCTCCAGGACTACAAATACAGTCAAACACAATAAAATATTGGAACTTGCATAGGTTTGCACACATCTATGTGTCATTCATTTAACGTAAAATGAAGACACACCCTTCTCTCTCCCTTACCCGGAAAGTGTCCTGAGTCTTCGCCCCTCCCCTTTGTATCGTCCAATCTTCTCAGGTGTTTAGCCCTTTCCACTCCCTCCCTACTAGTGTCTCCTAGCTCCTCCCTCTCATCACCCCCAGCGTCTCCCAACTTCCTCCCCTCCCCTCCGGAATCTCTCTGAAGCAGCAAAGCACCTGAAGGAGAGACAGGACTCGGCTTGTTCAGGCAGCACCCCGGCACCTCAGACCACCAGCACCTCTCCATCCTGTTGGAGGCAGGCCAGGACGGTGAACCCAACAGTCTTGTAACTAGCAGTGCTCCTTAGACCACCAGCCCTGCTCACCACCCTCCTCAGGCATCGCCGAGGGGAGCAATCAGTATAGAGAAGAGACCAATCTCCCCTGCCACCACCAACATCAACTGCTAACCAAATGCCACAAATGGGCCGGTGAGGGGTGCCAGCATTCCCCAGCCTAACTTCTAGCACAGCCCTTGAAGCCATTATCAAGGGGAAATTAACTTCTGTGGATATGTGGCTGCTTCTGAAGGTTATGCGGTCACAGCTACTCAAGACCCAGAAAATAAAGTCCTTGGCACAGTCACAAATTCAACATCAGAAACCAACGTTGTTTTACCAGTAGCAATGAAAATTTAAAAGCTGTTTCAGCATCGGCTTTGCTGCTGCACCCTAAGGACCACGAGACTTTTAAAAATCCGATCTGCAGCTGAAATCTACTAGATGTATTGTGTCCCTCATTAAAATATGAGCTCCTTGAAAGCAAGGACTGTATTACTTTTTTCTTTTTTCCACTGGAATTCAGCTCGATGTTTTGCACGTAGAGTTTGATTAATGCTTTTTCATTCATTCATTTATTCATTCTCTAGCCCACTTCTTTCTTACCAGTGTCCCTCAGTTTCCTTTCCTTTCTCCAGGTCTCCTTCACTTTCCTGCAGTGACCCCTACCTCTCTGTTCTTTGTTTCTCAGCCTCCTCTCCTCTAGCTGCCTTTTTTCTCCTGCAGTGTCCTCCCATTCAATCCAATTCATCAAGTATTTATTAGGTACTTATTAATGTGTGGCTGTCACAAAAACAAACAACCCTCTTCCCCCAAACCTCCAACAAGCAAGAAATGGCCTCTGTCCTCAGTGAGTTTATATTATAATAGGGAAATACAATATGTACCCATGTAAGTCAATACAAGATGTATATACAATAAACAAAAGATGTCTTTTTAGGGGGAGCACTAAGAACTGAAGGAACTAGGAAAATCTTCTAATACCAAGCTGAGCCTTGAAGAGCTATGGGTTTTGAGAGGCAGAGGTGAGGAGGAGGGAAAACATTCATTCATTCATTCACTTATTCATTCATTCATTCACTCATTCATTCATTCATTCATTCATGCCTTAGGACACAGAGGCAGAAGATAGAATGTTTAATATAAGAAAGGAAAGAAACAAGCATTTATTAAGTGCTTACTGTGTTCCAGGAACTGTATTAAGTGCTTTACAAATATATCTTATTAGATCTTCATAACAACCTTGGGAAGTAGATGCTATGCTTATCCCCATTTTACAGTTGAGAAAACTGAGGCAGACAAAAATGAAGTGATTTGCCTAGTATTAGACAAGGAGTATCTGAGGCTACATCTGTACTGAGGTCTTCTTGGCCATAGGTCTAGCACTCTGACATATAAGTACTTGTGTAAGTGATGAGGTAGAAAAGAGTGCTTGAAGCAGATAGAGCAAGCAGGACATGAGATAGGAGATAAGATACATGATGTGACCAGTCAGAAAAGCGATCAAAGAAGACTATGCATTGAAGCCTCCACCATGGACTTCTCTGTGTGCTTTCACAAAGCACCCTCAATTCCAGAACAACTTTTCCCCTCCCCTTTCTTGTTCTCTTTGTTTATCACCTCTGGACTACCTGACGTCCCAGGCATTTTGGAGCCATGCTTGCTCCTCCCATTCTCTTGTCCCCTTCCCCCATTCCATAAAATTGTATTTAAACCATACCTTTGACTTGGCTAACTACCTTTGCCTCCTACGGGAAGCAGGGGCCACTTCTTTTCTTTCTTTTCTTTTCTTTCTTTCTTTCTTTCTTTCTTTTTCATTCTTTCTTTCTTTCTTTCTTTCTTTTCTTTCTTTCTTTCTTTCTTTCTTTCTTTCTTTCTTTCTTTCTTTCTTCCTTCCTTCCTTCCTTCCTTCCTTCCTTCCTTCCTTCCTTTCTTTCTTTCTTTCTTTCTTTCTTTCTTTCTTTCTTTCTTTCTTTCTTTCTTTCTTTCTTTCTTTCTTTCTTTCTTTCT